AAACAGCTTCTAGCGCGCCCCGACCAGACTGATGGGCCAGATAGGGCCTCTTGTTGGCCCACTCCCAACGACGAGCTTCCACCTGTCGGATCTTGGACCAGACCCTCCAGAGAGCGGGAAGGAGACCGATGCCACGGTAGGATGGGCCCTCAGATGTGTCGGCTTTGTGCTTCTCGATCAGGGTAATGATAATACTGCGGATAGCGGTTTGAAATACTCTAATCTCTTCAATGGCAGCCAAAAGCTTACAAACCTGCTCCAACTCACGGTAACTCCGTGAAGCAAAATGACGAGGGTGAAATCCGTCCCAGGTTTGACTTGTTGGCTTCGGAAATCTTTTGGCTGCCGCACGAATCTGGCCAGGCGTCATGGGCTCCGAGCGGTCACGCTCGGTCGACGGCATGTTAAAATTCTGCTTCTGCGACTTGACCTTCCAAAGTCCTGCCAAGCGGGAGGCATCCGACTGGAGCAGCTCAAACGGCCGTCCTGAAAAGGTCTGCAGATCTGGGCGCCATACTTTTTGGGGCTGCCAGCTGGTGAGCTGTGAGGACCAGCGGTGAGCCCACCCAATCCCTTTGGACATGGCCTCCTGGACCCAGTTGCGCCAGGCGGTGGTTTCACTTTGACGGCCCCTGGCCTCCTCAGCTTGCAGCGCTCGGTCGACTGATTCATCGAGCTCTTCGAAAACCTTCAGGACAAGCTTGGGGCCCAGCACCCCGTTGTCCTGATCTTGAGCAGCGGCGCCTAGAGCAGTCCTAACACTGGCAGGCAGACGGGCAGACTCCTCGGCGCCCTCGAGCTCTGGAGGCGGTGGCTGGATGCTGACCAGAATCTCCGAAATATAAAACTCCTCCCTGGAATGAACCTTGCGGATGACATCCATCACTTTGTTTTTCTACCATCTGATCGGGATCGACAAACTCCTCCAAGTGGCCTTGGGCCCCACCTCCCGAGCGGCTCCAGGTACCCAGCGGATCTTGGGTAGTCCTACTCCCGGCATGGTGGGCGACTTGATCGGCGTATCCGTGCGGATCCTGAATCATTGCAACCCCAGCTAGAATCTCTAAGTTGTATCTGTTGAGGCCCACCCCGTCGGACAGTAGATCGAAGCTAGTGCGAAAGGGCGGTGTCCTGGAAGTTCAAGTTAAACTGCTGTGCAACGTGATTCTGCGACCCCTGCAGGAAGTTGCACCCTGGATACTCCGAAGTCATGCCCGTCACGAATCAAAATCCCTGTACCTTGGACAGGGTACCCTGAGTCACTGAGCACGGCTGGTTAGAGTATCGCCTGCCACCCCGCGCGCTCGCACCACTGTATTATAAATTGGAGCGCGTCTTTTAAAACTCTGACCTCTTGGCAGCAGATGATGTCCACTGCCTCAGCTGCTGAAGACTGGAGAAACTGCCTGATCGATCTCCAGCAGCTGCCGTTGATTGTGGCGAACCTGACCGTGTTACCCGCAAGACGTTTTGTCCGCAGGATCGCCCTTGCCGCCCTTGCCCTTGGCTGCGGCGACGCACAAGGCCTTGGCGCTCTTCTGGAGTGCCTCAGTGTTCTCCAGCTGCTGAGAGGACTGCGGGAGGTTCTGGCTTTGCAGGTTCAGCACCTGGTCGGCGGCCTCACCGGCGCGCTTGATGCCCGCGAGGCGCTTCTGTTCGGCGTTAAGCTCCTCGACCTCCATGGCCTTCTCCTCCTCGTCGTAGGCTGCGTCCTCCTCGGGGCTGATGTCAGCACCACCTGCAGCGCCGTCCGCTGCGCCAGGGCCCGCTGGCGTGGGCGGTCCGCCATCTTCCAGCGGCAGGGCTGGGGCGTCGGCGGACGGGCTTGGCCCGCCGCCTGGGACCGCCTGGGCCCCGTGGGGCTGGGCCTGCGCAGCCTGGGCATGCTGCACCGCCTGCGCCGCTTGCCACTCCACGTGCAGGTTGGCCGCGAGCTGCGCAACGGCCGTCTGCACCTCGGCGGATGGTGCGAGCCCTGGCGGGAACTGGCTGGAGATGAATGGCTCCAGACTTGGGGCCTCGCACGCATGCTCCTTGAGCGCCTGCTGGACCGCCACATTGTGCTGGGTCTCGAGCTGCTGTACCTCAGACGTGAGGTCGGCTACGGTCTTGATCTGCTTCTCATAGTCGTTGGCCATCTTCACAATGGCCTCACACGTTTTGTCACATTCATGCTGGGCGCTGGTCAGCTTCTTCTTGGTGGCCTCGAGCTGATCGTGTAGGGATTTCCTCTGCTGATCCCAAGGTTTGGCTGCCAACATTGATGCCTTCACTGCTTTCAACTCATTCACGGCCTGCAGGTAGTACTGCCCAGAGGTGCCTTCCATCTTCTTCCAGAACTGGACCGCCGCCGAACACACAGCGACTGGGTCACGTTCGGGTTCCTCTGGTGCTCGCACTCCCGCAGCCCTTTTGGGGTGGCCTTTCGGCGCTGGGCTGACTGTGCGCCTCCGCCACCGATTGGGGATGCCGTCAGGATTCACGTTCTGGTTGGCATTGG